AACTCCGTATTGTCTGTACTGTTCTTTGGCTATGTTGTAAAATGTTGTCTGTCTGTTAATGTTTTCCTCCTTTTATTTTTAAAATAAAAAAAAAACTGATCGATTGATTGATTAACTGAATGACTGATTTTGATAGCACTATGCAGGATTGAGCCGGGTCCTTCACATGCCCTTAACCCCCAGCCTTTTTTTATTTTTTATTTTGAGACAAGGTCTCAGTCGTTAAGTAGCCCAGGCTCGGCTCAAACTTGTTATCTTCCTGCCTCAGCCTCCCAGAGTGCTGAAATCACAAGTGGGCACCACTGCTCCCAGCCTTTTCATCTGTTTAGTACTGTGAGTTTTTTCCGTTCTTTTTTTTAATCTTCAGTGCTAAGGATGGACTCCAGTGTCTCACACATGCTAAGCACATGTTCTACCACTGAGCCACCCCCAAACCCACTTAGTATTTCCTATTGTGTTAAAAGATAGTGCAGTTTGCTCTTCTGGGGGTACACTTCTCCTTTCTTCTCTGTGCCCTGAGGTTGACACCTATAGGAGTGCATCACCCAGCTCACCCGACCTGTGGTTTCTGTTTGGGTTGGGCCAAAGTAAGGTAAAGACAGCCTATCCAAGGTTTGCAGGAGAGGGGTCAGGAAACAGACCCCACCGTATCCCACTTCCCTGAAAGCCGCAGTTGTTTTTGTCACCCGGTAGCCCCTCTCCTGAAGCTATTGCTCACTGGGTATTAGTAACAGCACCCTGCCCCTTTAACCCATGGGTGGTAATGGTTTCCCCCTTCATTAGTCCCTGGGGTGTATCACCAACCTTGTTGGTTTCCCCGCCCCTGTTCACAATTCTAGACTCAGCAATTTTCTCTTCAATCTTATTAATAAAACACATGCCTAAGTGCTCATGATATCTTCTCACCTATCTGTAGCCCACGCCTCCTTGCTGAGTTGGTACGATTCCAGCCAGAAGGAAAGGAGTACAATGAGGCAGAAGGAGCAAAATGATTACTTCTTCATGTTACAAGGGGTAAAGAGGATGTACCTCTGTCCCTGAGATGGAGTCCCCAGACCTGGGCAGTGGAGTGGCATTTGTGGTTCTGCCTGAACCCGGTCAGCTGGAGGACTGTGCCCTCCCAAGAGGCTCCAGTGGCCTGGGAGCAGCAAGAGTTCACTCTACCGTAGCTGAGGCAGCAACAGCAGCAGACGGCAGGGACAGGGTCCTCAGGGGGCTGGGAGGAGTCTGGGAGGATGACGGCCAGGCAGCAGCAGTCTGGCTAACACCAGGCAAGGCCTTCAGGTATCCAAGATGACGGACCATGAGCAACACCCAGAGTGTGGGGAACAGTCAGCACACGCAGAAGATGCCAGGCCCCTTGCCAGTCTGGCTGTTAGGTCACTTTAAATTTGATTTTGAAAGTAAGATGGGTCCCCGAGGGTTACACAGTAGATTTTGGAGAACTAGTTTGTATTGACAGTGTTTCCCATTATGGAAACATTTACGCTTCTATTTAAAAGTCTTTTGCCCATGAAATAAGATTTGACAAACACATAGCGAATCACCTAGAATGTGCTCTGCAAGACACATGCCAATGTAGACTAAGAAGGTATAAATTATAAGCTCAGTTGAGATCAATGATATAATCAGGCCCAGCCACAGGTGGTTAATGGAAAAAAGACAAGTTCAATTTCTGGAGGTGTTTTTGCCATGTTTTTCATTTAGAACACCTGGAGTCACAGCATAGGAAACTTGAAAGCATTTAGTTAAACGTTAGGATAACTGAGTGAATAATACCTCTGGTATATTCTTTTTCTCATTAAAAAGAAGGAAGGAAGGGAGGATGGAAGGAAAAAGGGAAAGATGAAAGGAGCTGTTGAAAAATATAAAATAGTTTCAATAGTGAGGTTTCCATAAATGTATCTCTAGAAACATGGCCTCATCCTCCCAATGTGCATCTTAGCAAAAAACCTGGGCCTGAAGGTCTGTTATGCTGTCTATGAACTCACAAATCACAATTTTTAAAGAAATTTCATGCTACAAATTAGAACTTCCTGGACAAAGGAAACAAAATTTTGAATATGTAGTAATAGCAAGAGGTGTAATCAAAATATACAGTGAATATTTTAAAAAAATTTTAATTCCAGTAAAAGACATTGCCATGGTCCCCCTCAAAATACTCCCCCTTGTTTCAAACACACTTATTCCATCATTCTTACCATTTTCTAAAGCAGTTCTGGAAGTTTTTTCTCATGTCTTTATGAAGTATGATAAAAAATGACATGAATGCTGCTACCAAGGGCCACCCCACGGAAAGGCAGGCTTACAAAAACGTTATAGTGGTGTGTTCTCCTCCACCTTGTACACTGGGTCTGGCACTGTGCAACTTCGGGCTCTTCCCCAAAATCAAAACGACCATGAAAGATGAATGGTTTGAGTCGATTCAGGACACCAAGTCAGCCACCACAGTGCAACTAAAGTGGACTTCCAGAACCGCTTCAGAAAGTGACACGAATGATGCGATAAATGTGTCCAAAGTGAGGGAGTTTGAGGGGAATTATGGCAATGTGTCTTACTGTAATAAATTTTGAAAATTTAAACATTCACCATACTTTTCCATCACACTGTGTGTTGCACGGATCAGATCCTGTGCATGCTTTTTCTTCTTTAATCCTTACAGAAGTTCTAGGCAGCGCATATCATTACTGCAACTCTACAAATAAAGCACCTGAGACAGAGAGGTTCTGTCAGTGTCTCCCGATCAGAAAGCAGTGAGGCGGGGGTTTCAGCCCAATTTTTCACCTACTCTAACTTGAATAGGCGTGGGATCAAGTAATTGGCATTTCTGGAAGGTTCATTTATGTACATTTTTAAAGTATTTTATTTTGAAAAATTTCCACTATGTGGAAAGTCATAAGACTAACGTTTAAGTTTTTACGACTAAGTTTTTTAATGATATTAACACCCATGCTGTATTGGTTTAACAGTGACTTTTAAAAAAAAATAAGGTGGGGGTGGAGATTGAACCCAGGGAGCACTGAACTACATCCCCAGTCCTTTTTATTATTTTTGAAAAATTTTTGAGACAGGGTCTTGCTAATCTATCCTGGCTTACTATGCCCCTTCCTCACCCTCCCAGGTAGCTGGGATTACAGACACGTGCCACTGCACCTGCCCTGACTACTCCCCCAACCTGCCTAGTGCTGGAGCCAGGGCTTCCTACATACTAAAAATGCGCTCTACCACTAAGCTACACCCCAGCCCAAACCAATTTAATTGGGAGAAAAGGGGTACATTTGGGGGACTAGTCTACAGGTTAGTTGGGCAATCCCACCACTTCTCTATTTGCTCTTTCTATTCCTTGATGGGTCTTACAAGGGGACAGTTTTGAGTCATTTCAATTAGTTTTGAGAAGTACTTTCAGTACCTGTGCACCAAAGAATTAGCATCTAAATCTACGAAGAAAAAATGGTTTATATATTCATGCAAGATTCTAAAACATTTGGTAAGAATTCCAGAACCAAAAGCTTCTTTTCTTGCTAAAAAGCATATGGATAAAATTTGAAGATGCCAATTTGCAGTGAATATGAAAAACAAATAAACTCCCAGGAGGACGTGAACTAGGTTGAAATTATCTTCTCTGCCTCTCAGATGGAGCTGATTCTGTTCTAACCTGTTGCACCCACCATGTCACTAGAACTTGATCTTTCTTTTCAGTTTTCCCTTCTAGGGACATGGAAAGACATCATCCACAGGACTCAAGGAAATTGATCCAGAGTGCTCCAAGCATATAAATCTGTACCAGACCAATACAGTGACAGGGGGGCTGGGGATTTAGCTCAGCGGCAAAGGGCCTGCCTGGCAAGCGCAAGGTCGTGAGTTCGGTTCCCGGTACCGGAGAAAAACCAATACAGTGACAGGTAATAAAGGGGAGGCCAGATGGCTGAAAGTGACATGTCATATGCTAAACCTAGTTCACCCTTGGTCTATTTCCTAAATGGCCATACCCCATGACCTTTTCTTGGAAATTGGGTCACTATGGCAAGGTGGATTTTTATTCTATTGTTTATTCATCTCTCTCTCTCTCTCTCTCTCTCTCTCTCTCACACACACACACACACACACACACACACACACACACACACACCGTCCTGGGAGAGAAACAGGGCTTCCTGCATGCTGAGCAAGTGCTGTATCACTGAACTGTAGCCTCAGTCTGTCTCCAATGATGTTTTGAACAGGTTGCTCAGATCTGGACAGCAGGATTCTGCCTCGGAAAATGAAATGCTAGCCTCTTTTGGATGCCTTAAAGTAGACGTAAGCACAGATTTTGTTACTCACATAAATCAAACTGCAGGTATGAAAATGAAGTGGTGGGAGTCTAGGTGTGTGTTTATAAGCACTTCTGTCTGAGGAAAACAGTGACAATTTATTTTTTAGCATATCTTTGACTTTAAAAACTGCTAATGTGGGAAAACTCACAGGATGCTGGTATGTGTGGACGTAGCAGGATTCACAGGCGAAAGAGGCCAGGGTGATGAATCTCTTGCAGTGGGTCCCGTCCCATGGTTCATCTCCATCCCCCTTTCTGCTCAAGAACAGCTGCCTGTGGGTGATGTAGAATAACAGGAAAACTATGTTCAGTTCTAAGTGAGAAGCAGAATTAAAGTCACATCACACATATATATTTGGAGTAGCATGGGCTCTCAAATTAGTATCCAGTGCTGATGTTATCAGCTTCAGGGTCCTGAAGAGATTCTTTCCAGGTGCTTGACGTTCTGAACAAAGAATTGGACAAAACATGTGGAAAAGGCAGCAAGGATTTACGTTTGTTGAAGGTGGAAAAGAAATACACTCTGCAGAGACAAGGCCAGTGAGCAGACTCACAGCAGCCAAGAGGAGAGGCAGAGCTCTTTTGTATAAGGAATTCCTGAATTGCTTCGCCCCCAAGCTAACAAAGCATTTGGGATGGTTGTCCTATCAGAAACTCACTTGGTCTGGTGTCAGATTTAAGCTGTCTTATCAATGGTTTGCTTGGTTTCACACTAGATGTAAAGGAAAAAGCAAAAATGGCACTTTTCTGATTAGTCCCAGGTAAAGGGTTCAGGAATTGCACAATCATCCTGGATTCTGTGATCTACACATGTGCCCTGGACCTCCATGACTGACAGGATCTTCATAGTTGTTTAGCCAGTTTGCCCTGCCCCAATTTCCTACCTTTGTATCACTCAATGTTCAAAACTGGGTCTCCAGGGGGCTGGGGATTTAGCTCAGTGGCACGGCGCCTGCCCAGCAAGCACAAGGTCGTGAGTTCGATCCCCAGTACCAGGAAAAAAAATAAATAAATAAATAAACCCCAAAAAAACAAAAAAAACTGGGTCTCCAGAAAATAAAAAACCCTGATCTGTGGTTGCTGCCCATTTCTATGGTATAAATACTCTCACTATAGTCAATTTTAAGCTACCAACTAGACCCCACTGAACCCAGAGTTGGGAAGAACTGGGAATGTGCCTCCAGAGCCCTACTGAGCATGACCCTTCCCTCTTCCAGCCTCAAGGGCTCCACTTGAGTAGGACATTTCCCGGAGTGATGATATGAAACTGACCAGTTTCTGTTTTCAAAGAAAAGGAGCTGATCAATCCTTTGGAATTTTCTCACACTGGCTTCTCTACTTCAAACACATTCTCCTCATCCAGCTGCACCTTGCTTATCCTTCAGGTCAGTGTAGAAGGCTTCCTACATCCCCAACCCCAAATCAAGGAAGAGTGACCCTCCCACAGGTCTGCAGCTCCTGCCTGCTAAAGTTTGGATATAGTCTGAGTGTGTCTCCCAAAGGGTCATGTGTTGAAATTTAATCCTTCTTGTGAGGTACTGACAGGGTGGAAACTTAATCTGACTATGGTGTCAAAAGGGACCTTTGGGAGATGATTAGGATTAAGTAAGATCACCAGAGTGGAGCCCCCATGTTTGAGTTCCAGTGGTTTTACAAGAAGAGGAAGAGAAGCCAGAGTACATGCATGCACGTGCACACACACACACACACACACACACACACAGGCATGCCTCGTGTGATGCCCTGTGTCACTTCAGAACTTCTTGCAAGAAAGCCATCACCAGATGCAGCTCCTTAACTTTGGGCTCTAGAACCACGATCCAAAATAAATCTCTTTTCTTTATAACTTACCCAGCCTGTAATATTGTTATTAGTAACAGAAAATGGATTAATATGCTGCCCCAATAACATTCTGCTTTGAGTCAGTTTATTGCTCTGAGGGCTCCTTGAGAGCAGGGCCTAGGTCCTCTTCATTGTTTTATCTCTAATACTTAGCACACTGCCTAACACTGAGTAGGGAGGTGTTGACTGGATCCGGGAGGGAGGGGAAGAGTGAGAGATGGAGTTTGAATTACAATCCTTGAGCTGCCTCTGCTAGGAAACACAGCTAAGCATTTGATGGAGTCTCAGAAACACTGCTGCAGTTTGAAATGTGTTAATTTATTTTATCACTGACTACAAATCATTTATTAGCTACCTAGCACTTCCGTGAGGACTGCCTAATATAGCTTTGGACTGAGACTCAAAGGTTGGAACTCAATTCCTTCACTTAAAGCTCTGTAACTTTGAGATCAGCTCCGTATTTTCTCTGTGCTTTTAATTTGTTCGTTTGCATAATACACAGAATTGCAACACCATAGTGTGGAGCTGACACAGGAAAGGGAGAAAAAAGGTGTGTTCAGCACAGAGCTGAGTCTTGGGCTTGCAATCAGGTTTTTAAAAAAAATTTTTACTTTTATTGGGACGTGTTTGCAGTACATAATGAGTACAACCCTCGGGGGGAATTGGTACATGTACATAACACAGTAAGTGCTAACTAGTACTGACAACTTGTTGTTCTCTTATTTTCTATCAATTGATTTGTTTAACCAGAAAAAAGAATGAGTTTCCCAAGCCATAAACACCTAATTCCAGAATGCCTCGTACATGAACAATGAATCAGTTCTTTCTTACCTCTCCCTATGCCTACCCACCCCTGATGATTGCTCCTTTTAGTAACTACAGTGACTTAGGTGAGTGCCAGGTGTCAACAGTACTTGTCACCACCTCCCTTCTTGCCTCAGAGATCATCATGCACATTTCAATTAATTCCACCTCGGGCAATTTTGCTTCCTCTCTTTGTTCCTCTTTGCCTTGTCTCTTTCTGTTAATTCATAGAATCTCATTTTATTCTCCCACCCTTCCTATTTTTTCCTCTTCCATTTGTGAGCTCCCCACACCCCCTGCACACCAGTCATACAGTGACCTGAGAGAGAGAGAAGGTGAAATAAAGCAAAAGACAAAATTGCGATAATTAACCTCTGGAGTCCTCCAGACAAACCTGAGAGACGGCCGATCACCCTTTGCCTTTTACAACTCTTTCAAGCATGCTCCCCCCCTCAAACACCAGCAGTGTAAATCATTAAAAAACAAAATATACAATTTTAAATGTTTTCCTCAATAACTCATTTTGCAAAAGCTTTGTTTACAACTAAATGTATATTACTTGTGCTAGTAATAGTCTCTATTAAAATTTTTCTGCTAAAAATATTTCAATATAATTCCAGCTAAAATGTACATTGTAGGGGGAGGTGCAGAATAATCTGGAAACTTGAGTAGCTCAATAACATTGTTTCTATTGGAGAATATGTTACAGTACATCCCATGTTATGGCTTGTGTCTAGATGCTTCCCCAAAGCCTCAGGAAGTCATAGGTGGGGCTTTTTCAGAGGTGGTTGGATCTACGCTGTGTGATGCTGGGATTGATTCATGGTGCAATGCTAGGATCAAGGGGACTAGGACGTGAGTGTTACCTACCTTAAGAAGCATGGATAAGATATAAGGGATAGAAAGAACTGTGGCTGCCCCTTGTTGCTTTTGCTACCTTCTATCCTCCAAGAACTGCCTCTCCTCTGGATGCCTGTCTTCCATGCCACACTGCCTTAGAGCCAGCCAATAATAGGCTGAAACCTCTATAAACTGAGCTAAATAAACCTTTCCCCTTTTAACTTTGGGTGTTGCTTATTTTGTCTCGTTAATAAGAGAAAAATACTCAGTACCAGGAGTTGTGTCATTATGTGATGACCTGACCATGTGGTTTAGGAGCCTTTGGAGCTGACTTGTGGGAAGAAGAAGAGTTAAGAAAGTTTGGAGATGCCAGCTGAAAAAGTAAAGCTGGAATGCCTGAGCTCTGCTTGATGGGAGATTCTGGTCAAAGCTCAGAAGACCAGAAGACTGATAGAACTGTGACCAGTAAAAGCCAGGCTCAGGAATTTTTTACTGAGAAGGACAGCACTGGCTGTTGGACTCCAGACAATGTGTGCTATCGCTTGGCAGAAAGTTTGTGTACATTTTTCTCATGTCCACAGACTTTGTCTGAGACTGAGATTAAAGGTGGTAGACTAATTAATCTTATAGAAGAAATTTCAAGGCAGTCTAATGTTGAGACTGTGGCATGGTTGCTGTTGGGGGCTTTAAACCAGATTTATGTTGCGAATCAAGAACAAAAAGCCCAGAAGAATGATTTAAAATATTTTTAGTTTGACCAGAAAGGAATCACCAGTAAAGTAAGGACTGCATTGCTAGAGTAGAGATCTTCATTACTGAGAAGGAACAGAAGAGAAAAGATGCTCTGATGGCATCACAAGAACCATCCAGACTTTGCAGCTTCAGAATTGCAAAGATGAAAGACTGCTTTGAGGAGAACCCCAGAGATCCATGTTCCAGGATAGCAGCGGCCTAGGTAAGTTGTTCCTCAGGATTTGGTTCATAGGCATTCAGCTCTCACAGCCAGGAGAGAAGAAAGCCTGGCTGCTGCTCTAGCAGATGGCAAACTCTGGTATCATCCACATGGTGCTGATTTTAGGTACATGTAGAATGCAAGAGTTGTGAAGTCAGGAAGGTTTCCATCCAGATTGCAAAAGAAGGCCTTGGAGGACAGGGAGTGTGTCCCTGATAGGGTAGTGTGTGAAGCTGTGAGTGTGAAGCCAAAGATGCAGTTGAGACCCCTGAAGTTTGGAGAAGCCAGGAATCGTCTGAGAAAAATGACAAGCTATGGATCATCTGAGGAAAATGACAAAGAGACAACAGAGCCAGCCCAAGAAAGAAGCCATGAGAGCTACAACCACAGGCAGTGCCATAGGGGTGGAGTCACCCCGGCCCTTTGGAGTTCACAATTTAGCACTGCTTGTTGGAAGTGGAACTACGGGATTTTATGATTGCCCTGCTGGATTTTGGTCTTGCTTTGTTTCCATTCCTTGCTATCCCCCATTTGTACATTTTGGAATGGAAATGTCTATCTTGTGCTGTTGAGTGTTGGAAATGCTTAACATTCTTTTTATTTGTACAAGGGCTTGCAGCTAAGTGTTTGCCTTAAATCTCAGAGGAGAATTTGGACTTGAACTTTTCTGCAATACTAAAACTGATAGGACAAGGCAATTCTTGCAAATGGACTAAATTTGCCTTTTGCATAAAGAGATATGCATGAATCTTTGGAGGACCAGTGGTGGAATGTTATGGCTTGTATCTAGATGTCCCCCCAAAGCTTTTTTAGAGGTGGCTGGATCTACAGTGTG